CCTCCTCCTCCGCCATCTCCTCCTCGTCGATCATCGATGCTGCGGGCGGGTTTGTCGACACGACTAGTGCCCTTGTCGTCGTCGTCGTCGCCCTCCTCCTCCTTCTCCTCCTCCTCCTCCTCTTCCTCCTGGCCGTCTCCCCACTTCCCCTCTCCCATCCCCCTCTTCCTCCTCATCGCTCCCCCTCCTCCTCGGCATCTTGTCGTCGTGGCGTCGTCGTGTCGTTGTCATCGTCGCCGTCGTTGCCTGCCGTCGTCGTCTTCGCCGTCGTCGCATCATCATCGCCGTCATCAGCCAGCATCGTCATCATCATCACCATCAGCATCATCATCACCATCCCCGCCATCACCACCATCGCCGTCACCATCACAACCACCACCATCATCAGCAGCATTGGTCTCCTGCTTCTTGTTTCCTGATGGCCTGCGGGATCCACGATCGCGGCCTCTATTCTCCTCCTCCACCTCCTCCTCCTCCTCTTCCTCCTCCCTCCCTCCTCCTCCTCCTCCTCCTCCTCCTCCTCCTCCTCGCTGGCGCCATCGTGGCCGCCGTCGAGTCCGCAGGAGTCGTGGACTTCATGCGCCTGCGCGACTTCACCTGGCGGGCCTCCAATATGCTGCGGAGCACCCTGCGCCTGCGCAGCTCGCGGGACAGCGGGCCCCGCCGCGGGCGCGGGCCCTACCGTTGGGGGCTCTCCTGCAAAGGGCCTCGCCTTCGAGGGATCCCGGATCACAGAGAACTGCACGAGCACACAGCCAAGGCGCTGAAATGGGGAACAGTCTGGGTTCGGGAGGGGCCCGATGGTCCTCTCAGATCCTTCCATGGCTGTTCCTCTGGCGGTCCTCGTGCACGCGGGCGCTTGTAGGGCCAACACGGGGCTTCGTTGCCCATCCGGCGTGCCTTGTGTCAGCGGCCCGACTGCACGGTCGGGAGAGTTGGCTTCGCGCGTCGCGCCGCCAGCCCTCACCACCTTCTAAACCACCCCAACCCAACCCGAAGGCCTCAATTTGCCTTCCATTTCCAGTGGGGGGTCGGGGAACATCGAAACCACACATGAGGAGCCCATACCCCCCCCAACCCGGAATTCGGGTCTTCGGGTTGGGTTGGGGTGGTCTGGCAGGTAGTCCAGTCCTGGCCCACCACGCTTCGGTGCGACACGCTGTCCACATTCCTGTCCCCAGGCGTTGCCGTCCCTAATGGAGGATGACGATTCATAAATGACCGGGGGTCGTGTTCACGCGGCGGCGCCCGGGATGACGACCCAGTCAACTTTTTTTTTGTAAAAAACCGACCGCGGGCTGGAAAACATTTTTTTGTGATCGTTCTCCTCCAGTCAGAAGCTTGTGCAGAAATAGCAGAAAACTATTTTTTTAATCGTTCCCCCCCATTTGTTTTATGAATCGTCATCCCGCGTTAGCTTTCCTAAGCTTCCCGCCCCGCGGCGCGGAGCGACACGCTGTCGGCTCGCAGGGCACACGGCTTCGCCTGGGCCGCCGCCGCGACGCGCTGGACGGAAGCTCCTGACCATGCTTCCTCGGAGCTCCGTGCGGAGTTCTTGGGTTTCCTTGGCTGCGCCTCCGGCGCCGCCCCTGGCGCGCTCCGCACGCCAGGGAGAGGGGTCCAGAGCCGATCCACGAGAGCCGCGCGGAGCTCCGAGAAGGTGTGGTCCTGCTGCTGTTTGGTGCCTCCAGGATCGACGCGTGGACGCCCCCAGATCTGCGACGGGGCGACTTCTACAATCCTGGCGCTGCTCCTCGATCTCGGCCCCAGGTGCCCTTTGCTGGGCCCCAGGTCCATCAAACAGGGATCCGGGGCGAGATACTGGCCCCGTGGGAAGGGGTCGGCACCTCCGGGGCCGCTCTTGGAAGTAAGCGTGCCGTCGGATGTCAAAGAGACACCCGGCGACACGAGTGGTCTTGCATGTCCGGGTCTCTTCCGCGGCGGAGGGGCGGCGGAAGGGTGGCGGAGGGCAGCGGAAGCCGAGCGAGGGCGGCCAGGCCAGCGGAAGCCTGCGGACGTAGCAAAATTACGTATTCCCCCAAAGATGCATGTTTTGGGGCTCCCAGGAGCCCACGAAAGTGGCGACGGTGGCGCAGATCGCAGCCGGCACGAGGGAAGAGGAGAAGGGGACGCAGGAAACTCGAGAGGAGGAGGAGGGGAGGAGGAGGAGAGGAGGAGGAGGAGAGGAGGAGGAGGAGGAGGGCGGGGCGACCGCACGGCTCAATGCAAAACGAGTGCACAACCATAGGAGGGTTGGGAATTAGTTACTCCCCAAAAGATGCATGCTCGGGGGCTCCAGGGCTGCTGGAACTTGGCGCATCTCCGTCTGGCCCGGGCGGGTCGAGGGTCGTCGCTGCTTCGCCATGGATCGGGCAGTGCCAAGGGGTTTCACCACGATCGAGGGGTCACCACCGCCTGCTGGAAGGCGAGGGTCCAGGAGGAGGGGGTGGAGGGGATCAAAGGTCGAGGAGGCTCTGGACATTTTCGGGCGTCTCTGGGAGTCCTTGGGGGTGTCCCAGGTGGTTTTGGAGCAGCTGTCGCCGTCGCCTCGCTTCGAGGTGTGACATGGGTCATCCTCAGGTCTCGAGTGGACCTTGGATGTCACGGGTAAGCGCGACATGCCTGTCATGGATGCTCGGTTGATGCCCTGACTCGGTTGCTTGATCGATGCGCTCGGGCTCTGTTCCATGGTCAGGTCAGGAACTGTTGCTTACCGTATCGCGCCACCGGCTTTGGCCCACCATTCTTCGGCGCGACACCCTGGCTACGGCGGGGGCGTTCGTTAAGGAACGTGCCCAGGAGGCTTCCGACCCTTGAGGGTTCCTTATCTGACGAGGGCGGCGGTGATATCCATGGCCAATCCACGATTGGCTCTCCACTGGCTTCCAGACCCTGGATTCCTTCTCCAACGCTTCCTCATCCACTGCCCCCACCGTGCTTCCCAGTCCCCGTGCAGCAATGCCCCGAGCTCCTCCCAGCCTCCTGTCGCGCGAAGCGGCGCGACGCGCTCTCCACCTGCAGGGCACACCGCGTCGCCGGGGCTTGCTGGTCTCACCGCCCAGCCCACGGGATAGCATCATGCGTCTGTGCTATGCATGTTCGGCCCGGGCGTGCGCCTCCTCCAAGGGGTGAAGCACAGTACTGGAATGTCCTCCTGCGTTCCTCCTCCTCCTCCTCCTCCTCCTCCTCCTCCCCCTCCTCCTCCTCCTCCTCCTCCTCCTCCTCCTCCTCTCCTCTCCTCTTCCTCCCCCTCCTCCTCCTCCTCCCTCCTCCTCCTCCTCCTCCTCCTCCTCATCCACTCCCTCCTCCTCCTCCTCCTCCTCCTCCTCTCCTCCTCCTCCTCTCCTCCTCCTCCTCCTCCTCCTCCCCCCTCCCTCTCCTCCTCTCCTTCTCCTCCTCCTCCTCCTTCTCCTTCTCCTCCTCCTGCTTCTCCTCCTCCTCCTGCTCCTTCTTCTTCTCCTCCTCCTCCTCCTCCTCCTCCTCCTCATCCACCTCCTCCTCCTCTCCTCCATATTGGAGCGTTCCAAAAAGGGCCTTGCCTGCGAGGATAGAGGGAGCTGTCCCCTCTTCCGCCGCGGAAGTACAACGAGGCCGCCTCCGCCGGCGGAAGCCGGCGGAAGCTCAGCGGAAGGCGGCGGAGGTAAAAGATGTGCCCCCAAGAGATCAAAACGTTGTTGGGTTCAGGGCTTCCGACATCGCCCATCTGCTGCGGATGCGGCCTTCGGCTGCCGCTGCGGCGAGCTGTCAATGCTTTCGCATGCCGCGTGTACGATGGCGCCCACGACGACGACGCCGACGCCGACGCCGACGCCGACGACGACGGCGACGGCGACGATGAAGACGACGACAATGACGACGACGACGTCGTCGTCGTCGTCGTCGTCGTCGTCGAGCCGCACGTACGATGGCGCAGCTCCGCCGCCGCGCGGCCAGACGGGACTCGAGCGGCCGGCGGGGGGAGGAGCGCGCCGGCCACGCCAGCCCTCTGCCGCCAGCCGGCGGCGAGCTGCGCCGCGGGGTCGGGGGGTTTCTCGGACCTTCCCGTGGGCGGAGCCACGGCGCAGGGGCGATAAGAGGAATAAGTCGGGCCTGTCCCTCTACAGGAGGAGTATTCAAAAATAGTCGTACAATAGTCTGGGGACGATGTTTTGACTATTTGTGACCATTTTGGATTATCTTTCGGGTGCAATTTGTTTTTCATCCAAAATCCCCCTGTGTGGGGGACATGCCCGATTAATAATAGGGAAGCGATCAATGACATAAACATAAGAAATTCGAGGTCCGCGCGGAATTCTCGAATCGGCGCTGGGACCCCCTGGCGGCGCCTCCGGCGCCGCCCCTGGCGCGCTCCGCGCGCCAGGGAGGGGGGTCCAGCGCGGATCCGACAAATTCGCGCGGACCTCAGAGTTTTCTTGATATTTATATCATTTTTCGTTCTCCTAGATAAAGTATTCGACGCTCGCTATGGCGTCACGAAGCGTGTGCGTGGTGTGCCAGAAGGGGCCCGAGCCACCAAGCGGACGCAGCGACTGGGGCCTTCGGTGGGGCTCCCTATGGGGCCACGACATGTGTCAGGGGTGCGCCAGAAGGGACCCGAGCCACCACGCGGACGCAGCGACTGGGGCCTTCGGTGGGGCTCCCTATGAGGCCACGAAATGTGTCAGGGGTGCGCCAGAAGGGACCCGAGCCACCACGCGGACGCAGCCACTGGGGCCTTCGGTGAAGCTCCGTATGGGGCCACGAAACGTGTGAGATGTGTGCCAGAAGAGAGATACATCTCATACTCCTGTCACGACTCGCTGAAAAACTCTGTCTGTGGGCATCTGGGAATGAAAGCGAGTCAGCGTAGACAACGGGCGCGACAACGATGACGACAGCGACGACTCCAGTGACGTCATCCTCCTGTTGGCATCTTTCAGGAGAGATGAGGGGAGCACGAGTGCAAGAGCGATGGAGCATTGGACCACCAAAAGAGAGAAGACTGTGAGGGAATCCGAGCG